AAAATTCTTGTCCAGACCGTATGTCCTTACTTAAAGCAATGCTTAATTCATTTCTATTTCAACTCTGGGCACTTCATCTTGGAGTCGAAGGATCGTGCCGTCTCTGTTCTGGCACTACCTTGTGAAGGAGAGAGACAAGATGCTCCTTTTCCCAACTTTTAAGGTCCATTTCGAATTTTGCCTCCTCCACAGGGCCTTCTGGGCAGTGGGCTGCTGATAAATGTGTAAGCTCTGGAGATGAGTGGGCAGAAGAGGAACACTGATTTACAGTGTTTGCCAATTTTCATGGTATAAATACTCCCACCATGGCCAATTTCAACCTACCAGTGGTTTAGCAACCAGCTGTATGTTTAACAATGAGCTCTCAAGGACAGGTTCCAGCCAGTTCCACACCACCACCGCCTCCAGGTTACGCTGGTCCACAGACCCCTGTCGCTTATCCGAGCCCGACTCCACACTTCACTGTCCCCACCTTACACTCTGACAGGTTGAAACTCACCGGAGTCCTATGCTCCGGGAGAACAACAAAGGTTAAGAAATGCTCTCACCCCTTTGTTCTCAGGAATCCCCTACCCTTTCGGGTTTCTCAAATGGCTACCGGCAAAGGACCACCGCGCCCTCCGATATTCCGAATGTTCTCAGGGTAAGACCCTCCTCGTGATTCTTCTTTATTTGTCTATAACGCCAGGTCACTGTCCTATTCTTTGCGACACTGCTCCTGAACACATGTGCTCCCTCTTGGAAAAGTCCAAATGGAATCATCTCTTGCCCCCAGAGCTCATAAGAAATGCAGGATCTGAGGCCCCGGATACACAGAATGGGAAGTTTCATCTCAACACCCCCGCCCCTCCCCCCCTGGTGATTTATTTGCACATTGCAGTGCAGGGGGTAGTTTCTACACAGTGTGCAGCGGGGCAGGGGCTCCTAACCCACTTTGAGTGGTCTCAAGGCAATTCCAATGAAGAAGTGGCATCTAAGCTAGAGCCTTAAGATCCACACCCGGTCGCCTACGATCGCAAAGGGGACCGAACAAACGCACCCACACCTGCAGGCCGTTCCCCGAGTCCGGCTTCCCTCCCTCCTCTTCCCGCTGCCCTCTGGCTCTCCAGTGCCACGCTCCACCCCTTGGCTGCGGGCCTGGTGAGCTCAGGCAGTCCTAACACCACTGCGGGAGGAGAAAACCCCTTTGGCCCCGTGGATTCCCCATCGTCAGAATGGCTTCCACCCCAGCGGAGGGCAAGCTGGTCTTTGGAAGGATTTTTCTCTACGTGTCGCTTGGATAGAGGGATGACGGATGGCTTGATGAATTGTCCGCTGAGCTCTGACTCTCAGGCACTAAATATAGACTGTGCACATGCTGGAAGAGCTAAATTTAGCAGCACTGGCCAGGAGCGAGAGGAGGGGCTTCGGGGCTCTCCCAGGACTAGAGGGAAGGAAACACCAGCCCTCAGTGATGCTGGACAGCTGCTCAGCCCAGGAGTAGTTTATTATTCCTGGCAGGGAAGGAGGTCCGCTGGGGATTTCATCTGAGGTTGATTTGTCTGTTGAAGGGGCTTGTTGAAAGTCATTTTTCTGTTAAAAGAAAAAAAAAGGGGGGGGGGAATGCAGATAGAGAGGCATCTCTCTGCCTCCATCTGATGAGTTTTCTCCCATTTGGGTTATAGCACAGTGCTGTCCTCCTCAGGCAGAGTTCTGATCTCCTGGTGGGTTATTTCTAAATCTGTCCCGTGCTGCCCCAGATCTTCTTTGTTTAGTTAGATAAGAAGGCTCTAATTATTTAGATTGAAGGTCAAAATCAGCGTGGATCTCTAATGCGGCCCAATTGCAATGCTCTCTCGGTTAGAAAAATCCCAAGGGCCCGGTATACTTTGGGGAAAGCCATTCAGCCGGCAAAGGGAGGAAAAAACAAGATCTTTGCTCAGGTTGAAGCAAAGGAAGGAAGAAACAAGATCCGTTGGCCCCCTGCCCCTCGTCCAGCAGCGTGAAAAGACGGCATTAGCACAGCACTTAGCGGCTCCTGGAAGCGTGCAGGCGGTCGGAACAGGGTGGCATCCGTTCAGGACACAAAGTGTGTCTTCTGGCCCTCCATCCCCCACACCCACGCTAGTGGCCATCTGCGGACAGAGAAGCCACAGTGAACGTCCGCTTGCCATTTGCCGCTTCGTTATCAAGAGTCGGCGTCCCTCTCCTATGGTAAGACGGAAAACGCTCATCCGCACTGTGATTGCGGTCTTCGGGCAAGGGCAACGGAAAACAGGCTCTGAGAACCCCCTAGAATCACTTCCCATGAGACCCAATCACGTGGTCTGAGTAAGGAACCGAGGAAGCTGTCCCCCTGATCTCTCAGCCCATAGCTGTATTCCAAGGAGCTGGGAAAACAAAATCTCCCACTTCATGGAGACGGAACACGGCTCACGGACTCACGACAGACGGTGCTCGAAGAGCGGACATACGTCATGGGGAGCTTGTGGCCCAGGGGCTTAGGGCGGATCAGGCCACAAGAGCCTAGATCCTCCCTGTCCGAGCCAACCTCGGGTTTCCGTCTCACCCCCTTGCAGACCTGGGGCATGATTTCTCTCTCAAGGCTTCAGTGCCTCTGGAAGAGGAGTGGGCCGGCCACAGAAGCTCTCTGAGAAGCCTGTGAACAGCCTCTGCTGGTGTCACCTACCACCTCGAAACTGTTTCACATTTGAAGGATGGCAGTCTTGATCCTGGGGACCCACGGTGTTGGATAAGGTGACATCACAAATATAGGTTCGTCTCATTTTACCCAATCAACGGACAAGTGTGCATACGTCCCCGCAAATAAATCCCCCGCCCCTCTTTCCAACATGGTAGTTTATCACTTGGTTTATCTTTAACTGTCGGGGACGTGACTGGGTGCTCTTGCAGCAATGACCGAGGCAAAGGCTCACCACAGACTCTCTGAGGGTTATTGGATACTATGGACTCGCGCATCTTCCCCTGTCTCCGCTCACTGGACAGCTTTAGAGCTCTGGAGGAATAGAAGTTAAGCTTTGGAAAACTGAGAGTAAAGCAAACGATCCTTGCCTATAGAAATGCAAATGAATTTTGTCTGGTAGAGATTTGATTGGTTTCCATCTCCTAAAAGAAGTTAACCCACATGCTGTATTTGGCTGCACTACAGATTTCTTTTAATTGTTTTAACATTTAATTATTTTTGAGAGAGAGAGAGAGCGTGAGTGGGGCAGGAGAAGGAAGAGGGAGACACAGAATCTGAGGCAGGCTCCAGGCTCTAAGCTGTCAGCACAAAGCCCGACGCGGGGCTCGAACCCACAAACCGCTGGGTCACGACCTGAGCCAAAGTCGGACGCCCAACCTACAAGCCCCCCCCCAGGTGCCCCTGCACTAGATTGTTAACCAGTGTGGCATCAATTAGCAAATTCATTTCTGCATTCCTGCTGGGGTGTGTGTGTGTGTGTGTGTGTGTGTGTGTGTGTTCTTCAGATCGTCCTTTGAACAGATGTTAGCATCTTACTCACTCCCCAATTAATGAATGGGTTAAATAATGTATTTGGAGTTTATTCATTTTTATATTTGTATGTGAATCATAATTTTTTTACTTTTTCGAAAAGTGTGCTTTAGCATAACCTTGTAATGTAATAAGAGTTATGTCATATTGATAATCATCCCCTATATCAACTTCAGTTTCCATTTTCTTTTTAATTTTTTTAATGTTTTATTTATTTTTGAGACACAGAGAGAGCATGAACAGGGGAGGGGCAGAGAGAGGGAGACACAGAATCCGAAGCAGGCTCCAGGCTCTGAGCCGTCAGCACAGAGCCCGATGCGGGGCTCGAACTCCCGAACCGTGAGATCATGACCTGAGCCGAAGTCGGACGCTTAACCGACTGAGCCACCCAGGCGCCCTTACTTTCCATTTTCTTAAAGGGAAAGTGGCAAAAGAAGGAAAAATTATCTACTCATGCTAGACTCAATTCCGTGGTACAGAATGTTAGTCCAGAAGGGCTCTTCTGCTGTTCCCTAACTCATTGGAAGTAAAGGAGGGTGATGGTCACCTGTATGCATATTTATTCTCCCCATATTTTTATGTGCACTGTCTAATTCAGACGGCATAGCTACCTTGTGATGAAATTGTTATCGTCATTATTATGTGTTCTGTGCTGGACGCTATTTTAAGCTCTATGCATCTATTAATACATTCAATCATTATAGCAACGCAAGGAGGTAGGTAGTATTAGCATGCCCACTTTCCAGGTGAAAAAACTGAGGCACCAGGAGGTTCAGCAACTTACCCAGGTCACACAGTCAGTGAGTGGTGGATTCCTATCGACACATCAGAGCCTGTGCTCTTAAGCTCTTGTTATTTCAGCCCAACTTCACGGTTGAGAAAACTGACCGTGTGAACGGACGCGCCCAAGAACACAGAGCAAGTAAAGGCAGCACCAAGGCCTATACCCAGGTCTGTCTGATTTTAAAAGCGGGCTTACTCCACCCAAACCGAAAGAGTGAATTTCCTGATGTTGGATGGAAGCTGAAATGAACCTATAGACAAACAAAACAAAACAAAACAAAACAAAACAAAACAAAACAAAACAGAAAAAAGAAAGAAAGAAAAGAAAAGAAAAGAAAAGAAAAGAAAAGAAAAGAAAAGAAAAGAAAAGAAAACCTATAGCTTTCTCTGGACTACCCAATCAGATTTGCAGAGGTGAGACAAAGTTCCTCATAGTTTGTACCTACAGGGGAAAAAAAGCTATAGAGAAAATATACAAAAGATACTTTGTAACTCCCTCGAGGTTTTCAGGTTCCACGTTTGGCTATGTGCTTTATTTATCAGGGCCCTTGTCGTTTCTTACCATTACCCTGCAATACCCAGAGGCCAGGAATATGCCCTGAAGGGCCTAACCTGGTTCCTTGTGCAGAATCAAGTCAAATAAATATTGTGGAATTGCAACCACCTGCCCGGTGCAGCATGGGAGGGTCCTCAAACAGGACTCCAGCAGGGAAGCTGAGGGGGGCAGCCTTGGGCCGTGGTTTAGGAGGATCAAAGACGGGGAGGGATGTGGCTGCAAGTTACAGGGAAGAAAGAGCGGGGCAGCGGCCCCGAAAGAGAAACAGTTGCTGCTGATCAGTTACAGGGGCTTGCCGCCTTGCCTTCCCCCTTAGAAACTGCCGGAAGGCCTCTGACCTTCTCTTCTCTCTTCGGTCTCCTGAGCTCCCTCCCATGCTGCACGCCCCCACCTATTGCCACAAGGCAGTTCTCCCCGCCATCCCCAGCCCCACCCCCGGAGCATCGCCAGATTTAGGGCTCTGCGCCCGAGCACCAGGGCTGGCTGCTCGGGGGCTCGCTCTGCCAGCCCCGCCGCGGGCTCCGCATTGCGGCGGTGCGGGCGCCGAACCTCCCAGCGCGCTTTCCCGGCTGCGATCTGCAGTGCGGTGCCCGCCCCGCCGCCTCCCTGCCCCCGCACGCCCCCTGGAGCCCTGCGCCTAGCTGCTGCCGGCGGGTTGCATAAGCCCCGCGCGCAGGGGCGCTGAATTCAGCTTCCCGGTCATCCAAACTCGTGGCCAGACGGTGAAAGCTGCGATGCTGCTGGACCGTCCTCCCCTCTGCAGCTGTCAAAGAGCCGCGCCCCGAGGCAACAAATCCAGACGCGGCAAATACCCTGTGACAGGTCAGAAAGGCGGCCTTGCCTCCTCCTGAGCAGGGAACCCTTCTTTCTCAGGAAACGGGAACACTTGGGAAGGGGCCCCGCGCAAGCCTCCCCGCACCTGCAGGGCAGGTGAGGGTCCCGCCCGCTCGCGTGGGCCAGGGAGAGCCAGCCAAGAGAAAGGAAGCACAGACTGGTTTGTGCCCTTGTCGATTACCCCATAGGCTAATTGACGTTGTAGGTAATTGCCCCCAGCCTGACTTCACCAGAATGTTCTACCCTGGGAACAAGAATTTTCCCCGGGCTCCTTCAGACAGGCCTAATTGCCTGCAGGCAAGCATGAGGCACCCAGCCCCTCCTCTCCCACCTCCGCAGCCACTCTCTTCCACCCCAAGGAGCCTCTCCTTGGTCTTCACACTGGAAGACCAGGCTTCAAAAAAAACCTGCCCTCACCTTCATGGGGACGCTCCTTGTCCTGCAGAGCAAGAGGCTAGCAGCCCAGTTCACCAATCCTTCTGCCTTTGTTAGATGTAGGTAGCCACACCCACTGTCTTTAGCAAGAACAAAGCATTTTGCAGGGTCTGCTTCAGTGCCCCGACCCCCACCCCAGGCAGCAAGAATGACCTAGAACCCCAGTTTGTCCTGGATTAAAGGGAGCACATGAGATTTTCAACTGTGAAAGTCCCGGGCGGACTGAGACAAGTTGGTCCCCCAAGGCAGGGTAGAGGACAGCAACGCATTTTTTTTCTCGGTGACTTGAACTCTGGACTAAAAGAATTTTTTTTTTCCTTCCCAAAGCAGATGAGAGAATATTTGCTCCTTGAGGAGAGGCGAGGAAGAGGGACATCTCTTCATGAACAGGTGAGAAATTTGATCAAACTTGATTGGGGAGGTAAAGAGAAGTCTGGGGGGAGGTATCCAGAACCCTAATGGGCTTAATAATGTCCAGGGCATTTAATCTTCAGCTCTTGTTTATGCCAGCTGGAACCGGGTAAGCCATAAAAAAAAAAAGGCTTCCATATCCAGGATGGCAGGATGGCCTCCCCACAGCCCTCCCCTGGCTCTACCCACCATATACCCCAGCCACCCCCACTCAAACTTGGAATAGTCACAGCAGGCTTCTGCATGGCATTTTCTGGGCATCGAATGTGGCTCTCTTGGAAGCAGGCGGCTGCAGCATAATGGAAAGGGCCCTGGCCTAGAAGTCGGGACACCTGAGTTGTATTTTCATCACAGCGCCCTCCCCTCCCCTCCCCCCTGCCCTGCACTGCACTGTATGACCTTGGGCAGGCACTCAACTGTAAAGAGGAAAAAACAGTCCCTGCCCCATCCTCCTCCTGTTGTTATGACTGAGCTTCTAATGATTCCAAAGACTTAGACCCTCACCAGCAATTCCCAGGCTGGCTTAAGTCCTGATGTCCCAGGCTAACCCACTTTTGCCCCCATGTCAAGACTCGTCAGATCCACCCCACGGGATTTTTTTTTTTAATGTTTATTTATTTTTGAGACAATGCGAGAGACAGAGTGCAAGTGGCGGAGGGGCAGACAGAGGGAGACACAGAATCCCAAGCGGGCTCCAGGCTCCGAGCTGTCAGCACAGAGCCTGACGCGGGGCTCGAACTCCCAAACCGTGAGATCATGACCTGAGCCGAAGTCGGACGCTTAACTGACTGAGCCACTCAGGTGCCCCTCCACTGGGTTTTTTTTTTTTTTTTTTTTTTTTTGTGCATCCTCTTCTTGTACGTTTGCATACTCTCGAATAGAGCTCCTTGAACTCTGAGGTTTTCAGTTAAATGTCTTTCCAGATATGTTTTGACTGAATTCACACACCGTTCACAAGAATTCAGTCACATGGTCAGACACCCAAAGCTAGGGGCAGCGTGGAAGCCAGCCTTAACCAGAGGCTAAAAGCCTATAGCAACAGCTCCGATTTGGGGGCACCTGAAGATCCGCCGACCTCGGAAGAATTTGGGGGGCTGGACTCCCTAAACGATGAGCGTTTGAACCTTGAGCAGGAAGTTTCCCACTCCCTGCCACTTACTATGCGAATACCCTCAACTTCAAGTTCGTCATCACTGTATCAACTATACACACACTGCCTCATTTAGAAAGTATTTCTCAAGTAGAGCGCACTGCATGAATATGTGGTTCAGGAGAGGTTTGCGAAAACTGAACGGAAAGATAGGCAAGTGATCAGAGAACTCTGGCCCAACCAACTGGTCAGCAGAAAGGCTACTCGCCGAGTGGCTCGGATGATAAGCAGACTCAGGGCTCCCTGAGATCCGTTGCTCAAGCTAGTGCCTATTCTTGGCTTACGGTCTCTAATCCCCAAAATTTACATCACTGTCTTCACTTATTTGGCCAATAATTTATGAAATTGGATTATTGTAATTTCGGCCTGTTGTGTGCTTGATGAGATGCACGAGATGTGTACAGAAGCATGATGAGATCCTGCCCCTGTAAATTGCCAAGTCTCCTGATGTGTATCTTTCCATTAAACCTCCCTGGCCCGTCCAAATTGGGTTTTTGATTTTGCATGACGGAGGCTATATTCATTCTAAGTTGAGATGCTCAACGCAGAGACCTGCTATCTCTCCTTCTTCTCTCTTAGTTTCTTTCTCTGCCTCCTGATGTTTTCGAAAGCTTTCCTTGTTCTTTTGTCAAGGGAAGGACGGGAAGCAAACGTCACCTGCTACGTCTGAGTGTGTATTCTCAGACCCGTCGACGGCAAGACAGAGAGGCTGGGCGAGGAAAGGGAGCAAAGCATGAGAAATTGCAGCCATGTGAATTCCAAAATGAATCTGAAATATCTCTGAAGCTATAATCTATGTCAAAGCAGACTATACTTAAAAGAAAGGAGAACAATAGGCTCTTATCCACAGCTTTGTATTTTCTACATAAAGGAGGAGCACAGGCATTCCAGGAAATAAGTAAACTGTGCCATTTAAGGAAAAAAACCCAACATATCTTGTACTTCTGTGCCTTTGGGACAGGGACCCCTATTTGTTCCTTGGTATGTGTTCCCTGCTGAACTCATCTGACACTTGGACAGAGACTGTATTTCCCACCCTCCTTGAAGCTGAACTTGGCTGGCTGGCTACCTTCTGGGCAATGAGCTCTAAGAGGAAGGGGTATGTGCAGCTTCTGCAAAGTATCTTCTAGCAAGCAGAAGCGTGCCTTCCCCTCCTCCCCCCTGCTGGGTGGATGCAAACTTGGGAAAGGAAGGTGGATGAACCTGGTTCAGATGCTCTCGTACCAGGGGAGAGCCACTAGGAGACCCGCTATGACAAAGAGAAAAAAAAAAAATCTGGTTTAACCCACTGGTATTTGGGATTGTGGCCACCCACGGCTCAACCTACTCCTTAGTGATCTACGCCCTCAACTTGTGGAAGAACACCTTTTATTCCGTCCACAATTAAAACTGCCACAATTACCGTTGACTGAGACAAATATGAGGAGGGTGTTACTTTCCTCACAGTTTTAGAAGGTGTTGGTTTTCGGAGCCTCAAGGATATACGTGAGAGAGAGGGTTGGGGCATGATTCGCTTTAATATGGTGAACAAAGCAGCCTGTGGGAAATAGATCTATGTTGTAAATGTTATACATTATGCAATAGGACATGTATACTTTACATATCCCATATATATAATATGGGGAAATATCTACCTAGGTGATAAATAGATACAGATAAAATACCACTCAGCAAAAAGTGCAGTGAGCCAGGGTTCCAGGAGAGGCACTGTTAACTAGCTGGCGGATGTATAAATTGGTAAGAGGTTTTGGAATCAACTTGCCAGTATGTATCAAACCTTCATGTTTATTCTCTTGTATACAGTAATTCCATTGTTTGGGAATCTATGGGAAGAACGTGGGCAAAGAGTGATGTCCAAAAGTTTCCTGGCAGCGCTGGGTGCTACAGGTTCAGACGATAAACCCACGTGCCAAGAAATGTCAGAGTTGGCAGTTAATGGCGTCCTTTTGCACAAGCTGATTTTCTTTTATAAAATGTTTTAACGTCTATTTATTAGTGAGAGAGAGAGAGAGACAGAGCGTGAGCAGGGGAGGGGCACAGAGAGAGGGGGAGACACAGAATCGGAAGCAGGCTCCAGGCTCGGAGCCCCGCGCGGGGCTCCAACTCACAAACCGGGAGATCATGACCTGAGCCCAAGTCAGACGCCGAACCCGACTGAGCCACCCCGGGGCCCCACGTGAGCTGATTTTCACGGGGAAAGGAGCTTCCGGAAGGGAAGCCCGGCTGGAGGTAGGGGCCGATGGAGAGGGTCTCCACCCAGGCCCAGGGGTCAAGTCCACCCTCGGCGGGGGCGGGGGGGCATCCACACAGGCTGGAGATGCTTTGCCATAAAGGAGACGGCGGCCTTGAAAGCGCGGTGCGGTGCTCCGGAAAGAAGCGGCGGCCCTGGCGCGGAGCAGCCGTCCCTCCGGGGAGAAGCCCGCTGGGGGCAGGGGCGGGGGGCGGGGACCGGAGCCGCGCCTTGGCAATGGAAGGGGCCGCGGCTGGGGGACCCAGCCCCGGAGCCGCTCCCGCTGCACGGGTGGCGGGCAGGTGCTGCCCTCCAGTGGCGGTGCGGCTGGAGGTACGGCCGGGCCGGGAGTGGACTCGGGGGTGGGGGGAGAACCGCGGGTGGGCTGTCCCGGGCCCCCAGGCGGAACCGACACGGGGCGCGTACTTAAGACGGATGCGGGTGGGGCCGCGAGCGCTGCGATCTGAGCTACCGCCGTCCCATTCGCAGCCACGGGTCGGAGCAATAACTGAAATGTACAATTAGGGAGAAAAATGAAGTGAAGTCGGATTTGTCGCATCACCTGTGGCCCTGACATGAACCGACGCGCCGCATTATCTTCCCTGTCCGCCTAAGCTTTCCCGGACGTCACAGGTGCTGCCAGCCCGGATACTGTTATTTCTCAGCAGGTGTCTGGATCTGATCAGTGGGTGGCACTTTTCGTGGTTTGCAAGGCGGAAGGAAAGGAGAGGCCATTATTTCTGGCGGGAGTTCTAGGCACAGGGTGGGGGGGGGGGGGGACGGGGGGGGGGGACCAGCCTCTGGCAGGTGCTCAGCAGCAGTGGCATCGCAGAAATAATTGGGCTTCCAGACCTTGGGCTTTCCTGATCTCTTCCAAGTGCTCTCCTCCAAGGCGACGCTGTATACAAGGTTATATAAGCCTCACATTTCCTGCATGAAACCCCTCCGTATTGAAAAATGTGGAGTGGCCTCTCTCAAAAGTAAATAAATGTTTAAAAAAAGTTAAAGAAAAGAAGGAAAAGGTACATATATAGTATAATCTCAACTATCTGAAATACACAAATAGAAATATACTAATGTGTTTTCTCTCTATGGGTTGATAGGTGATTTTGGTTTCTTCTGTATATCTGTCTTACTTTTTTTTAATTATCTACAATAAGTGTGTATGTACTACTTTATAAAAGGAACTAATGTATGTTATTAAAATCGCCTAGGGGCGCCTGGGTGGCTCAGTCGGTTAAGCATAGACTTCGGCTCAGGTCATGATCTCGCGGTCCGTGAGGTCAAGCCCCGCGTCGGGCTCTGTGCTGACAGCTCAGAGCCTGGAGCCTGTTTCAGATTCTGTGTCTCCCTCTCTCTCCGACCCTCCCCCACTCATGCTCTGTCTCTCTCTGTCTCAAAAATAAATAAACGCGAAAAAAAATTAAAATCGCCTACAGGGAAGTTACTTAAGTATATATTCAATACTCAGCATCCGTCACAAATTCAACGTCCCATGCAAACACACTGAAATAATACTGTCTTCTTGGCATCTAATATTCACCATTTTTTGGTTCTTTTCCCACCAGCCCCAAAACAAGTAAACATTGTTATAATTTCAGATCTGAAAACAGGAAAGCCCCGGTGCAGGGACTTCACAAAAGGTAAGCTCTGGAGGTGGCAGAAATTTTGTGAAATTATTCTGGGGAAACTGTTTCCCTCTCACTGCAAAGGAGAGGAGAATCTACCTCTGAGTCAGCGAGGGTTTGATATTGAGAAGGGATTTTAAGGGTCTTCAAGTGTCTTTATGTTTGGGTTTGCCCTTAATTCTTTTCCTTCACTTCGACAGCATTGCGGGACGAGAATGGCCACAGCATTGTGGGACGAGGATGGCCGCACTCCAGCTTTATGTCGGCTGTGGTCACAGAGTAATTGTTAAGAACAGTGCTCCCTTTGACTTCCCAAAGTGTCTCAGTTTACACAACAATGGGTATGTGTATTCTGTGCAAGACCTATCCAAATAGCGGTGACTCGGGTTTTAATAAAGATCTGTATACAGCCGTATGCATAGAATCGCTCCTTAGTCACCTACCAAGAATGGCATCTGTTTTGTTTTTGGTTTTTTTCTTTGTTTAAAAAGTTTGTTTTCTTTTCATTGAGGTATAATTGCCGTGCAACATTGTATTATTATACCTGAAGCTAACACAATATTGCATGTTTTGGGGGGTTTTTTCAATTTTTTTTAAGGTTTTATTTATTTTTGAGAGAGAGAGAGAGAGAGAGCATGAGCAGGGGAGGAGCAGAGAGAGGAGGAGACACAGAATCCGAAGCAGGCTCCAGGCTCTGAGCACAGAGGCTGGTGCGGGGCTGTAATCCATGAACCATATATGACCTGAGCCAAAGTCGTACGCTTAACCAACTGAGCCACCCAGGCGCCCCTGCGTGTTTTGGTTTTTGAGGAACTTCCCACTTGAGAGGTTGTAGGTGACTTCTGATCCCCCGTACCTTATATGTTTCCCTTCTCTAGGAGTTAGCTGGGCCCCTTGGGTTCGTCTTAAAAATGAATGTTTTATTTAAGAAAATACTAGTTTCTTGCATATCTGTGTTCCTATTTATGAGTGCATAACACGCCTACCCGCTAGGAAATCCTAAGCAGTCATATCAAATGTAACCCTATAACCATGTCTTATTTTTCTCTCTATCACCAGAGCCTCGTCCAGCAGCACTTTGAAGAAATGAGACAACCCTGATTGAACGGAACTGAATTTGTTGTGTTACTAACAGAGCTGATAGAGCAGTCCATTATTAGGGTTTATCTATCTATCGTTTCTGTGTCTGCGGTTTTCCGGTCAACATCTTAAGAAGAAATATCGTTTTGGTGGGGATTTTTATTTGCTTTTTAATTTCCCTCTTATTTCTTCATCGTACTTAGGGTCAGCATAGAACAGATGCATCCATCATCTGAGTCACTGGGCTGGATGCTGGTGAAGATAAAAAAAAAATCATTAACACAGAGACGCCGCCTTTGAGTGATAGTGTAGTGCAGAAGATCAAACATATACGCGGCACGTTTCTGGTTTGTCGGGCATAATCTTGGTAACCTACGTGCGTCTGCATTTTCTCCTTGTTACCTGTGTCTCCTTTCTTTGCTTCTGTACGTGAGCTTGAGGGGTGTTTGGTGGCAGGATGGAGTGCTAATTTCATTGAGGAAGACGTATCAGTGAGGATCTGAGCCCATTCCTAGAAAGGCCTACAGACACTTGTGAAAAGGACTCTGGTCCCTCAGGACAAGACAATCCCTGCATGGCAAGTGCTAGGTGAACACCATGGAGTCTTAAAGGGAAAAGAGGGGAGATGGACTCTGGAGGGACAAGGAGAGGTCTTTTGCAGGAAGTGAGGGCGAACCGGGTCTTGCGATGAGCAGGAGGATGGCTCTTCCAGAAAAGACCACGCTATACAGACAGAGCTTGGGCCTTGGAAGAAGTTCTGGGACCCCAGATGGGGCACAAAAGCAGCGGCGTGATTCCATTGCCGGGGATTAGAGGAGACAATCACGTGGACACAAGTGGGGGGATGTCCCAATGGTGGCTGCATGGAACAGCGGATGCCCGTGTGAACCGAGCACTGGATGGACCCTTGCTCCCATGCGATGGCTTTCCCATATCTCTTCAAGCTAGACTAAACCCTAGGATGATAATGGTAGTGGGGAGAGAAGACTCCAAGTTGGCTGAGAAGACACTGCCCCATCCTAGCAAAACATGGCTTGAAATTAACATTGGAGAGAGATTTGGAAAGCAAAGAAAACTAGGTTTCTCGTACACTTCTGTTTGTAGACTGAAATGTACACTTGCTATTTGTGTCTCCGTGATGATCTCAAAGATGACAAACTCACTAACTGTTCATGCCGCTGGCTTGGGAAGGGGGCAGGGGACACGCTTGTCTCCAGGGCCCATCATCAGTCCTGTGGTACATGTGACGTAAGAGATTGACTTGCAAAGCGGGGGTTGCGCAACAGAACAACGTGGGTCTGGATGCTTTCCTACCATCAAACTTACCATTTGCCTCGGTTCCTCCTGAACCCGATGGACAGTTTTCCCCGCGGTGCTAAATTTGACATTTCAGTCCCCTCATAAGCGTAAAAGTGGAGGTGTCAGAGCAAACAAAAGATTTCTTTTAATGATGGAATTCAGTGTGTATTACACCGGTCAGCATACATGTTGCTTTGTTTCACGGAGCCTGTGGGTATCGTGTATATAACTACACATTTCCAAAAATAAATACATATTCTAAGAAGAGTTTGCATCACTGTGTTCTTTAGTACCTCAGATTTACGAGCCTTTCTTGCCAAAATCAAGTCAGTTAGCTGATTTCCAACATGAAGTGGTCCTGCCCCGTGGAAGGCAAGGGCTCGTCAGGAGAACGAAACAGCAGCAGAACCAGCCTTCCCCAAAAAACATATTGTGAACATCAGCCTGGAAAATAGGCAGACAGGGTGACCGTAAATCCCCTTTTCTCAATTCTCTTGAAATAGGAGTTGGCCGAGCCAGTTCGGATTACCCACGGGTCATTTTGCAGACATCTCTCGGGTAGGGACAAAAATCTCACCAAACTCAGAACCACTGAGTGGCGTTTATGATCTGTCCCTCTTCCCAACATCTTGAGGTCCTAGTGGCACCTACCAATCGTAGCAGCTGGCGGCGCACTCCCCGGAAGTGAAGGCACAGGTCTATTACACTGAGGCGGGGCAAAAATGGAAAAGACGTCAGCCTGCATTTTTTTTTTTTTTTTTTTTTTTTTGGCTTAATGTTTTCTTCTTCCTGTGGCTGAGACTGTAGAGTAAGTAGGAGCTCGGCTCCGAAACAGGCTTCCAGGGTTGCCTCCAAGGAAAATCAGCAGCGGCGGATGCTTCATATTAGCTGTACTAAAATCTCACTTTATTTCACCTGGTTTGTTTCTTCAATCAAATCCATCAGGAATAAGATCCTAAAGGAACCTCTGCTTATAACATTTGCTATCTTTAGAGGCAGGCACAAAATTAAATATAATCCCCATTCAATTTTTTTTTTAATTTTTTTTAACGTTTTATTCATTTTTGAGACAGAGAGAGACAGAGTATGAATGGGGGAGGGGCAGAGAGAGAGGGAGACACAGAATTGGAAGCAGGCTCCAGGCTCTGAGCCATCAGCCCAGAGCCCGACATGGGGCTCGAACTCACGGACCGCGAGATCGTGACCTGAGCCGAAGTCGGCCGCCCAACCGACTGAGCCACCCAGGCGCCCCCCCATTCAATTTTTAAAGAATCCTAGGGGCAGAGGGAAAGCAAAAGAGAATTAGTAACGACGCCGTGATATCTATGGATCCTAAGATTATAGCTGATTTTTGTTTTCTCCTTTTTACTTTTGTGTGTCCTCTAGATTTAGTATTATAACCACAAATTTTACTTTTTATGGTTTTTTGGGGGGGGAGGAGTTTGTAAGAGCCCATGAGGAAAAAAATACTTTAAAGGCATATACCCTAATAACCGTGACATATTGAGGGATACACAGAACCGACAGGGAGTATGGTGAGAGCTGACACTGAAAAGACTCTGGGGTCTATATCAGAATGAATAAATTGGGTTTAGCCCGGTTGAGTCGATAGGGATGGAAAATGGAATATTCACAGGTTCTACCCATTCTTTGCAGAAGTTCTTATGCCAATATAATAAATTTTTCTTCTCAGCTGCTGGGTGTGTGCTTAGGTCAAATGCTATCTGATCCAGCGGGACAGAGGCACAATGAGATGCATGGCAAGCGGGTCTCCTTTGTGGAGGGGACAGCACCCCACCCCCAAGCATCTACTTGCATCCAGCGATCGACAACAGGGTCATTGAGCCTAGAAGAGGGGTGAAAACCCGAGAGAAAGAAGGGAAAACATACAGCACATCCATCCTTGGCTCTGGGATACATGCAGAAATCGCGGTTGGATCCCTTTGTTGTGATGGTCACGGGGAGAAAGCTGTCACTGGGGTCGCGTTGCCGTGAGATTGCAGGAACATGGGACAGAGTCTGAAACGGACAGAGGACCTTTGCTGTGATGACCAGACTCTCTGAATGGGAGGGAGTCACCGAGCGTTTATGAGAATGGATGCTTTGAACTTGTGTGAACTCAGATACCTGGATATATGGCGGGGGGTGGGGGGCTGTGTGAACCCACTGCATGGCCACCCGCTTTAACACCTCAGGGCTCAGTGGTCCTCTTATGGGACCCTCCCCTCCCCCACCTACACGTCCTTGGAACGCACGTTCTCACTCTTACAGCCAAAGAGCGTTCTGGAGGTAAGCCACTGCACCAGGAGGCGACAGATCAGCTAGAGAGGCAGGACTCAGCTCAGCACACCCGTCAGGTGGCGGGACTAGCAGCTCTGCTGACCATGAGGGCTGCTGAGCTTGCACAGTCGCAGAAGCCACAGCGGCGAGGAGTAGGGCTATTATCATCATTTTAAGAGCCCTCTTAGGGATCCCCAGAAACGCTGGGAGGAATGTGGCTTCGTAAGGGGCCCGGGAACGAGTGTAGAGCCTGCATGCCTGTTCCCGGGACCTTGTTAGATCCAAAAAGCTGACGTTGCCTGGGTGCAAACACAACAGCAGAAAAGGACCCTCGCTCGTGGCTTCGTGTCCCTTAAACAGTTATGTAACTTCACGTAGAGAAAACGCAAGTTCACAGCCACAGGAAGAGAACTAAGTTTGACCCACCACCCCACCTTCAGAGTGCGTCACGCTGAGGGAAAATGACATGTCTGTGGCTGCTTTGAGGGTGTTCCGGAGGATCGCTGTGTGTGTGCGTGTGTGTGCGTGTGTGTGTGCGCGCGTCCCAAGAAATATTGCCGTCCGCTAGAACAGAACCAAGCATGGATGTGCCTTAAAAAGCAGATTTTAAGTAGCGTGAAGGCCATGCCGCCGCAGACTGGAAGCGAAGGCAAATGACAATTTGAAAAGCAAGATGCGCAGGTTTGGAAGCGCCTGCTGCCGACTCAGAAAAGGGAATGAATGTTCTCGGCGCACCTGCCCTGAACCAGGCACACGATGGCCGTTTTGTCTCCTGCCCGTCAAACATGGCTCATCTGGCGACAGATTAAGCAGCCTCCTTGCATTCATTGCTGCCTGCAAACTGCTGCTCCTCCCTCTCCCCTGCCTTCCCTGCAGACGCCGGAGACGGGATCATGAGACAATACTACCAACCCACCCTCTGGGTTGCAGGCTCTTGAGAATCAAAGGATCCTGACCTTCATTGCTTGAAAATGCTCACTTCCGGTGCTGGACTCTGTCTCATTACACCTGCTGTGATTCTCGCCGGCGTCAATATCCACGTGGCTTGTGTTTTCAAATACTGGCCTGCTCTCCCCCTTCCCTACCCCTTGTTTTCCACTGTGACTGAGATCCTCACTCCTGTGGTCATACTCTACACACTGCCATCACCAGAGGATGACATCTCCTCTGTCATGTTGACTTCTTTTTTTTTTCCTTTCCTTTTTTTTACATGTATTTATTTTTGAGAGGCAGAGCACAAGTGGGAGAGGGGCAGAGAGAGAAGGAGACACAGAATCCCGAAGCGGGCTCCAGGCTCCGAGCTGTCAGCACAGAGCCCGACGCGGGGCCCGAACTCGCAAACCATGAGACCCTGACCTGAGCTGAGGTTGGACGCTCAACCGACCGGCCCACCCAGGCGCCCCTGATTTCTTGTTTTAATGTTTACTTTTTTTTTTGAGAGAGAGAGTGAGAGAATGAGTGGGGGAGGGGCAGAGAGAGAGGGAGGGAGGGAATCTCAAGTGGGCTCCTCACTGTCAGCGTGGAGCCCAACTCAGGGCCCCATCCCACGAACCGTGAGATCATGACTTGAGCTGAAGCCAAGAGTCTGACACTTTACTGACCTAGCCACCCGGGCACCCCGTCGTGTTGGTTTCTGACCCACATACCCTATCTTTGGATCTCATTCATTCTAGTATCCTGATTCCAACAACTCTTTGGCCGCATTCCACTATGGCCCCAAATACATTGACCCTACCGCCTTTCCACTGGCTGTCACCTAAGGTCCTCACTCACCTCCCCTCGATTCCAGGATTCATCATTCCTATGTCTCCCTTACGTCCATTTTTTCCCTTTTCCCTCCTTTTCCCCTTTTCCCTCCTTCAATCTCATCCACTAACTCCCACTCTCCTCGACATCAACTTTCTGCTCTCTTCTCTCTCCCCAAGCTAACAATCCCTTTCTCTCCTCCTTTCCCCTCTCAGCTGCTAACCCTGCAACAATAAGATCAAACAGAAGCAAGCTTCCCCGTACTCCCACCACCAAGTGCCAGCAGGTACACCTCTCTTTACGAACAACCCGGTTTGTTTTTACAGTGATCAACCATTCATGCTCCTTTCTATAGGCACGTATTCTCCAAGGCTCAGCAATCACACCCTCAGGGATCTATCTCACTTCTACAATTATCTCCCCTCTCTCCTGGCATCAGTTTCCCCCTGTCTGTTGTGGTATCACCCATATTTTTTAAAAGGAAGGAAGGGGGGGAGGGGAGCAGAAAGGAGGGAGAGAAGAAGGGCGCGGAAGGAAAAGAAACCTCCCTCCACCCCACATTTCCGTCCAGCTACTGTCTCATGTTTCTTCTCTTCACTGTGGCTCGTCTCTTCGTTACGGCTAAAAGTCATCCCTAACAACACGCTGTACTCTCTCCTTCAATTCTCTCTTTCCCCGGTTCTAATCCGACGTTAGTCCTCCACGACTACTGGAGTAATTCGTTATTACTCCACGACTACTGTGCTTGCCAAGAACACCAATGACCTTCATGTTGCCAAATCCAACAACAAATTCTCGGTCCTACGGCCCTCATGTATCTGTACCTTGAGCCAGTTTCTTTACTTGGCCCCCAGAGCACCACTCTCATGGTTCATTTGACATGCCTGACACCCTTCTCAATCTCCATTCTGATTTCTCTCCTTCTCCCTCACTTCTATTAATGTAAGTGCTCCAGGAGTCAGTGCTTTGAAATCTTTTCTTCTGTGCGCATTCATACCCTAAGGAATGACGTACAAGCTGTGGTTTTAAATACTCTCTTTCTGTGATGACTCTTGTATTTCTATCTCAAACAGCTGGACTCTAACCATCTAAATCTAACTGCCTGGTTCACACCCTCACTTTGACACCTAATGAGGATCTCAAATGTAACTTGGTTAAAACAACTTTGGGTTCCCACTGCCTAACTTTTTCCTTCCCAGTCTTTATTCACTTGATAAATGAAAATTCCTTTTTTTTCTGAT